GTCGCATTAGTCCGACCCCGAGTTACCCACGCCTGCCTTGTGCGGGCCTGTTTACTTGGGGCTTGGATAGGTCCGTCTAGGAGGATGGCTGTGCCTCCTGCGTCTGCTGCTGCTGCTAGCCCGGCTTCCACCGCTCCCTCGCCTCGCTCGCCGACCGTACGGCCTGTGGTGATTCCAAGCGACTCTTTGGTGGCACCACCGACCGGTATGGCTTTGCCCGCTTCGTCGGAGCCCCACACGTCGGACGAGGAGCTTTTTGCGAGCTTTCTCGACTGGGCCCCGACAGTGACTTCGGCTCCCGAGCTCATGCTCGTTCTCGCGCTCGTTCGTCGACGCCGCCTGCTCCTACTGAAGTCCCTGTTGTTCCGGCTGCCATGGTCGATGGTCCTGCTGTTGCTGTGACTCTGCCGCCACCTGTACGTGCTCCTGTGGCTTCATCTCCATGCGACGCGGCTGCTGAAGCTCCTGGCTCAAATCTTGTTCCTCCCCGTTCGGTTACGCATCCTGTTGGTTCCTCCGAGACCGCTTCGGCTACGCCTCACGATGCCTCTGCGTCGTCGCCGCCCAGCGTGCTCCAGGAACCCATCTACGAGATCACGATCGAAGGGTTGTGTGGAGATGACGTTGGTGGTGATGTCGCGGATGATGATAGCGTTGCAGCTGAGGATGTTCCTCTTCAAGCGGTGGTGTTGCTTAACGACGAAGTTGAGGAAGACAGCCAACGATCGAAGCGCACTCGGCTTCGTCGTGGTGATGAGACGTCGGAGTGGCACCCCTTTCCGCTTCCCAAGGATCCGGAGAGACATCCAACCACGAACCATCGCAACCTCTATAATCCGGATGCTCCTTGGGACTATGCAAACTCGGCTGGGATCACACGCTTGCTTGATGTTGAAGGAGAATCTCCCCACCGCTGCTATCTTGTTCAGTGGAAGGGTCGTCCGCTGCAGATGAGCTGGGTCTGGATAGAGTTGCTGGACAAGGAATCGACGCGGTACATGATGCAAAAGGTCGACGAGTGGACGGCTTCTGGTTCTAAGAAAACCTTCATGGGTTGGTACGACGTTCGTGATTGTGCTTCCGAAGCTGGCACGCGTTTCATAGATGCGTTCCGCTGCGCGCTGTACCATCTTGGTCGGCCCAATCTGGTTACCATGGAGATGTAGGGTGAGTATGAGAAAACTCGTCCAGAGGCGATTGCGTTTGGCGTGTCTAGCGA